GGTCAAGGAGGCGGTGACCATTCTCCTGCACAAGAAAGGAGAGAAGGACCAGCTGAGCAACTATCGCCCAATTACTCTGCTGACTTTCACCTACAAAATTCTGACAAAGGTGATTGCTGATAGAATAAAGAAGGTGCTTCACCGAGTGAGCTCACCAGAGCAATACAGTCCCGGGTAGGAAGCTCACCGATGGCGTGGCGCTGGTCGTTGACATTATTGATGCGGCAAAGAACAGCAATGAGGATTGGTATATGTTACTCGTATACTTCCAAAAAGCCTTCGACTCGATGTCGCGAGGCTTCATCTTCCACGTGCTAGACCGAATGGGCTTCCCTCCTAAGCTGGTGACCTGGATCAGGGGGCTGCACACAGACACAACGACAATAATGCTTGTTAATGGCTGGCTGGGAGCAGGGATCGACGTGGTATCTGGCGTGAGACAGGGATGTCCTCTGGCCCCATACCTATTCCTCTGTGCGGTGGAGCCGCTGGTGCAGAAAGTGGAGAAGGAGCGACTGGGGCTTGACATCGCCTGGCAGCGGTTGGCATACATGGGCTATGCGGACGATACGACTCTGGTCCTGCTAGGGAAGGAGCAGATAGTGGAGGCGGAAGTCATATTGGACTCCTTTGAGCATCAATCTGGTCTAGCGACGAACAAAGAAAAATCTTTCATCTTACCGGGGGGAGGAAACCTTGGGAAGAATGACGGGGGAGCGTTCAAATGGGCGAAGCCGAACGACGCTGAGCGGCTGCTGGGGGTCTGGGTCACGCCAAACGGGAGTGGCCTTCCGACCTGGGAGAAGGCATTGGAGGAGATTAAGAGGAGGTTGGGGATCTGGAGGCGGAAATTTCTCACGGAGAAAGCCAGAGGCTCGCTAGCCAACGGCTACATTCAACGTGATGACTTTCCGGGCGCAGGTGTACCCGCCACCTGCAAAAATATGGAGGGAGGTAGAGAAGTTGATTCACAACTTCGTCTCCGGAAACAAGGCAACAACAGAGAGGGTGTTTTTGTTATGAGTACGGAGCTACTCTACACCCCGAGGCAGGATGGAGGCTTGGGCGTGCATGATCCCAGCATCACGTTGGCCTGTCTGGTCGCCAGACGAGTGGGCTTGCTGATGACGGAGGCGAACCAACTCAAGAGAGAGGTAATGATGCGGGCAGCAGATCTTCCCCTGGGCCTCAACACTTTCACGGCGCTCGACCGTCTCCTGAGGAACTGGGAGGGGAAGAGTCAGCGGTGGAAGCAGACTTGTGAACTTTTCATGAAATCGCCCCTCAGCGTCAAAACGGTGAAAATAACCAGAGCAGGGATAGAAAGGGAGCGGATCGTGTTTAACAGAGCTATCATGGTGGGAGTAACAGCACCGGTGGGCGGACAAAAAGCCGCAGAGAAGCTGTGGGACTGGACACTGGGGGACCTGGTGGTGCAGCAGCTCGATGGCGCCCACAGGCCAAAAACCATGGCGGAACTCACAGAGGATTTGGGTGGGAAGGAGCCTGCTAGGCTTGCGTTGAGAGCTTTCGCAGCTGCTGACCCCTTGCACGAGCTCGGCTGACTGGGGGATGAGGGGCGGGACAGCACTCCCGCGCATCCCAATTCTACAAGATGGGGAGTGGTTTCGCTGAAGCAAATGCGGGGACATTGTAAGGGGAGGCGTGTGCAATTGCATCGCATGCTGCGATGGGCAGGCAGATGGCGTGGTTCGATTAACTGGAAAAAGGTTCCGGGCATCAGGGAGTCACTTGTCACCCCCAGCAGACCAAGGGATGCCCTCACGAGGGCTTTCCTAAGTGAAAAACCCTTGTGTCCGCACTGTAAAGGCGAGGAGACGCTGGAGCACTGTCTTTTCGCCTGCCCGAAAATCCAAACAGTGGTCAATGCGCTGAGGCGGGCCCTCCGCATGCTAAACCCGCTCCGCACCACGAACTCGCTAGAAGATCTCCTCTTCCGCACGGCGAGGGAACCGCACGGCTTTTTAAAGGCAACGCTCAATGCGATATCGCTATGCCAAATTTGGCTGGAGAGATGCGAGGCGGTTTTCCGGGGGCGCAAATTTCGCGCGCGCCGAGTCTTGAGACGGATCTTGCTGGCTTTCCGTCAACATGCAAGGGTCTACACTAAGGCACGCTCGACAGCGTGGCAGAGTGGAAGGATTCGGCGCAGGCTGACACGTTTCTCAAAGGGTTATTGGAGGAAAAGCGGATGCTGGGCAGGATACGGCTGGCAAGTGATGTCGAGATAGTAGCTAGAACAAGGAGCCATAGCTAGGGTTTACCTAGCTAGGCAAGAGAGAAATGAGCAAAGGAGGGGGTTCACTAGCAAGCAGGAGGATACATATAGGAAACCCTAAGGGGTTGTACTCGCTATAGAGTACCCCACTGCAGGCTAGACAATAATAACATTCTGACACACCCCCATAGTCAAAGTGGGGTATAATCAGCAGAGCAAGCAGTCATAGAGCAGGTTCACAAGCACAAGCAAAGCTAGAGGCAGTCACACAGGGCAAGTGAGGAGGAGGAGTGACTGTGAGAGGAGGAGTTGGGAGGCGACTGCTGAAGCTGCAGACACACGGGCCACAGGAGCGGCTGGCTCAGTTGCTACCGGAGCAAGGGCCCCGGACTACAGGAGTAACAGGCTCAGACAGGAGCAACGGACCCACGGGCGACAGGCGCAGCAGGCTCTCTGGGTTACCAGGGCAAAGGTCCCGGACTACAGGCGCTGCGGACGACAAGACTGCTACCTCCACTCAACCTCCCCCAACTGTCCCACACCCCTTTCACACACCCCTTGCTGCACCCCTAGCTCCACTCCCACGGCACCCCCCTTAAACCCTAAACCCTCGGCTCCCACACACCCACCCCCCTCAGCGGCAGCTGTAGCAGTGGGAGACGGAGGAGGAGTAAAGGACGTCGCACACACCCTGCACCCCCATAACCGCCACCCCCACACTCGCCACCCCAAAACCCTAAAACGGGTGACACGGGGCAGGAGCACGGGGGACGGCGTGGGGGAAGGCTCAGAAGACCGCATGCGGCACTGGGGCAGGCTGCCCGGGCCGCGCGCGGGCCTGGCGCAGCCCGTACGGGCCGCGCGCGGGCCTGGCGCAGGCCGTACGGGCCGCGCGCGGGCCTGGCGCAGCCCGTACGGGCCGCGCGCGGGCCTGGCGCAGGTCGCGCGGGCCGCGTCGGGCGACGGGGGGCGACGCGCGGGTCCGCGGGCTCCATGACGAGCGACGGGGGGCGCTTCGACGGGCGACGGGGGGCGCTTCGACGGGCGACGGGGCGGTCGACGGGAGGGGGGGAAGCGCGGGTCCCCGGGGTGACGCACGAGGGAGGAAACCGCCGCGCGCCTCGGGGCCACGGCGGGCAGAAAACCGCCGCGCGAGAAAAAACGAACATCGCGCGCCACGGGACGCGCGACACACAGGAAGGCAGCGGAAGCAGGCGGGCCCACAGGCCAGGAGCGTAACCGCTCTGATAGCATGTCGAGATAGTAGCTAGAACAAGGAGCCATAGCTAGGGTTTACCTAGCTAGGCAAGAGAGAAATGAGCAAAGGAGGGGGTTCACTAGCAAGCAGGAGGATACATATAGGAAACCCTAAGGGGTTGTACTCGCTATAGAGTACCCCACTGCAGGCTAGAGAATAATAACATTCTGACAAGTGATAGGAAGTGGACGTGGACCAGAGGTTTCGAGTCCGTCTGGACCAATCCCAGGACTGTGCACAACCCACCCTAGTTCCTCTGCTGAGCCCACGCACGGTTACGACCGCTATTTAGTAGTATGCATTATGCTTTTGTAATGTATACTTTCAAGACATTGCTTTCGGCGCATCGCAATTAGTCACAAACACCGATTTTGGAGTTTCACAATGAATAACAAATACGTTTCGGACACTTTCTTCAACTTCATATCCTGAGCGGAATGTACCCTTAATGCGCACCTTGTACTTATGCTGTTTTTCAAAGGGTACAAAAAAACTTACACTTTCTGGCCTAGGGTAAAATTTTCAGTACCCTTCCTGGGAAAGGGTAAGTGAAAGGACAAAAATGGTATTTAACTTAAGCCTGATAACAAGAGCCCTGCGCTCGACGCGGCGGATGAAATATTAGTTGGACCCAAAAACAGCATTGTACGTGATGGAATGGAGTGTGCAGCAAGGAAAATGAGAATCTCATTACAATAGCACCAGTGCGCCTCCATGAGGTATGGGGCTAATTCTCCTTGTCAGTAATTTACATTTTTCGTAAAAGCATTTCTTCAGGTGACTTAGAACTTGAGCAAGTCCTGAGTGAGTTTAAAACGTGAACCAATCTCGAGCACGTTTGACGAGGCCACGTCACCCGTCATTTGGCGACCCGTCAACATCGACATCAGCTTTCCGCCCGCCGGCTGTCAAGCCCACGAAAGGCGACGCGCATGGGGCGTTGGAGGCACGATGGAGAGCAAGGGCGGAATTTGCGCATGGGTCACAGACAATCATGCCTTCGCGAGCGGTGCAAATGTGACGAGAAGACTCGACTCGAGTTGGCCTCACCGCTTCGCCTCACCAAAAATGCCCACGCGCTGAAGGGGCTTTCTTGCTTCATCCTGCGTGAATTTCGCCCTTGGTCTTGTTCGCTACGCATCACGACTCTCGTTTATTCCTCTCCCCTCCATCACATTTTTGCTAGATAGCCCTGGTGTTCCGTCACCTTGTCCTCGCCAGAGATTGAGCGATTAGCTAGGGCCGTTGGTTTCTGCCATCATCACGAGTAGAGGGCGATGGATGCGTTAGACATCTCGAAAGGCAGGACAGTGAATCGAAATTTAACAAGCCTAATGTAGAAACACATCGTTAGGACGGCCTCCTCTCACAGTTTCCCTACGACCACAACGCCTTGCTTCCTCCGTCACCAGGTCTTCCGCTCTCTCTTATCCCGCCACACACCGCCCCGCAAAGCTCGCGTTTCGCGGCCAATTGCTGGGCGCGCCAGCCGCCATGTCGACCATGACACTTTCCATGGAGCCCGTGCCGCCTCCGTCGCACAGCTCGGCCGGCATGGCGCACGCGCGCGTGGTGCGCGAGGACAGCATGGACCGCCTTCACCAGCTCGCGTCGCACCGCCCCGTGCTGCACCGGCGCCACTCGCACAACCACTCGCGCCAGTCGCCCAAGTCGCTGCTGCAATCCAAGCCCGCGACCGCCGCGCACCGCCTCGTCTTCATGCGAAACTACAAGCAAGGCTCGCCTTCGCAAACTCTGTCGCATGGCAGTCCCACGGCCGTCGCTTCACGTGGCGACAGCAGCAGCGTCGGCATCGGCACGCCTCAGCCGTCGCATCACAGCCGGTCCACGGACAAGCCTCCGCAGGCGTCGACTCAGAGCGCGGAGCCCACGCCGCTGAAGGAGATCCGCCGGCAGCACAGCTGGCCGCTGCCGCCACAGCCGTCCTCGTCAGAGGCGGCGGCGCCAGCGACGACGGCGACGACGGCGACGCCGGCTGCGACGGTGACGACAGGACAGCGAGCGGCACCAACGTCGTCGGTGCTGCGGCAGCCCGCGTGCTCGATGGTGGAGTGCAGCGCGCGAGGGGGGTGGAGAGCGCGGCGGGAGGAGGAGGAGGAGGAGGAGGTGTCGTCGTGGGCGTCGTCCGTAGAGGAGAAGCCGCTGACGGCGGCCGCCGTGCACGTGGGCGACAATCGCAAGTACGACATCGTCGCCGTCGGGTTCTGGCTGGCGGCGCTGCAGCAGGGGTGCCCGCTGGTGAAGCTGAGTCGGCGCAGGCCCGGGCGAACGAAGCAGCGCAACTACTTCGTCTACGTGGAGCGCACCGGCGCGGTGCGTGTCGAGGCGAGGCTGGTGTGCGTGTTGCGTGGCAACAAAGGCATTCATAGCCCAATGAACACTGTCACGTCTGTTTCGCTGTGCATCCACTCTCTCACGCACACCACTCTCTCTCTCTGTAATCTCTCCGTCTCTTTCATTTCTTGTCTCCCTCCCGTCCATCTCCGCCCGTTGCTCGTGCAGATTCGTTTGCAGTGGGACAAGCCTCGCCTGTTCTCCATGGGCTCGTCCGCACCAGGTGCGCATGCCCCTGCCACCCATGCGCCATGCATTCCCATGTCATTCACCAGCGAACACCATGCCATAATGCCATTCCATGTAGAAATCCCCGCACGCGTAGCTCGGCTGTTTTCCATCACTAGTCGCGGAATGAAACGCGGCCTTGCGCCACCACCATGCGCACAGCCTAGGCCGCGTTTAGCGCCATCGAGCCGCGTTTCCAACAAGCGCACTCTTCGCATCCAAGCCATTCAGCCTCTTAAACTTCTCCTTTCTGCTGCCCCCCTCCCGCCGGCCGCGGCGATCCCTTGTGGCGGGCGCGCAGTGCATCTGTACGGCACGGAGGCGACGGACACATTCGCGATGGAGTTCCGCATGTACACGTCGGAGGGGCAGATCATGATGCGCGCGCACACGGACGACTGGTTCCAGATCTGGATCAAGGGCATGCGCTCCATCATCGAATACGCTAAAGTTCTCTCCTGGACTCTTCAGATCTAGGCCGTGCACACAGGCTTCGCGCGTACGTACGTACGACCTTGGGAGTGACGGGCTTATCCGTTCCCTGCACACGCAGTTACGCTCTTTTCGGGCCTCATGCCTGCTCGAAGTGACCAGCTCGCCTACCCGTGGTGGAGTCTTGGGAAAAGACAACGTTTAGGAAGGAATAAAGTAGTCTGGACATGCAAGTGTGTCAAGAATCAACTATTACCGGTATTGTTGCCTGGACTCCCTGTCGCGTGGACTCCCTGTCGCGTGGAAGTAGTTTCCCTTCCTGTACAAATTTTGTCCTCATGTCCTATCGGTTGGAATGAGATCTGAGACTGCATTATCATGGGGCCACTATTTCACAACCTATATGGTGTATACTAAAGGAAGAGAAGCTGGTAGGAGGGGATGTGTAGAAGGGCGAGAGGGGGGAGGAAGGGGGAGAAGGGGACACAAAGAGGAAACCCAAAACAGGTCGGACGGGGAGGGTCTGATTACAATAAGCAGGTACCGTATATCTGGCTTTGCTGCTTTGATCCATCTTCAGTAGAACTTGCAGCTACTCTTGAAACTTTCCTAGGTCCGCTTGCGTTGCCGTGCCAGGGTAGCACAGAAATTCCAACCTTTCGTTGGATTATCTTTACTATGTTAAGTGTCAAAATTATCTTAGGGCTTCACCTAAGCCCAACAAAAAAAGGCTTGAGACGTTACCGCTATAACGCGGATAGAGGCACAGTGGTCGCCGCCACCCTCCTCTGGTGGTGATGAGATTCAACGCAAGGGCACCTCACACCCAGCTTCCTCTCGATTGGTGTGTCCACCCAAGTCCGTGGGCTGGAGGTGTATTTGACGCCGAACCATTCATCAGGTGCATCCCAACAGCTGGTCTGGTTCGTTTCACCATACCTCGGATCAAGCCAGTTATATTCTTGGGATTTCTCCGAGCCTGTCAAAGTCGAGATTCGGTGCGGTGTCGTGGAGCTCTGAGGCCCGCTCGACCTGAGCGTGAAACCGCTAGTGTAAATCCCGGGGTGGGCAACCGCAAGCAACTCGGCTTGGAAACCTCTAGACCAGGCCTAGGGGTTGCCACCCACTAATCACCACCCGCCACGCCACCCTTCTCCCCTTGGGCTTGGGCTAGAAAATTCTGGGGGAGGCAAGGCGGCACTCTTAGTACACCTAGCCACCGCTATTTTCAACTTCTGACCTTGGCACTGTTCCCGATTTTCATATAAACCCTGCCCAGCTTTCGGGGTTTTCTGTTAGAAACCTCGTCATAGGGACTCTGACGGACGTCAAATGGAGATTTCAATCGGGCGAGTGTAAGACAATTTCCGCTCGTGTGGAGTCTGCTTGCTCTTGCGCATCCCATTGCGTAGCTTTCAGGAGTCAGGAACTAACTCTGCGTAGAGCGTATGACGTCCGACACAACCCTCGGTTAAAAACGTTTTGAAGGGTGCATCCACCTTTGCACACGTGGGGGTTGAAGATAGACCGAAAGAAAATAGCGGTGGTTAGGTGTACAGTGCTGCACCGCCCTGATCTACTGTATGCTTTCGTCGTCAATTCTGACGTTCTGATCTAAGCGAAGTTGGCTGATCACACAAATGGCCCGCTGAGAACGTCACTTCATTACTGCCAACCCAGCAAGCACAAAGCACACAAAGCACAGCAGGCTGCTCCTCTCGCAATCTCGTCCACCTCGCCTTCTCACCGCAGTCCGCACGCATCGTCGCGCCTCACCCTCCGCCATGGCCACTGCATCGCTCGCCGCTGCTCGTCCGACCAGCCTCGCGCTCGCCGCCGGCGGCGGCGCATCGCATCGCGGTCCCGCCACTACCGCCTCCACCTCGCTCCGCGCCGTACCTCCGTCCGCAGGAAATCCGGGTCCGATGAGGGCAATTCGAAACGTGGCAACCAACGCCGTGAGTTTTCGCGCTGTATTTACGGCCCAGGAGACGCCGGAAATGGAGGGCCGACTTAGGAAAGCCAGTGAGGGACGAGAGCCGAGAGGCGCATCGGCGCAAAAATCGGTCGCACATATTCGCATCGGCAGTTGATTTGCGCCGTTTCAATCCACCGCCTCGTCACTCCGCCCTTCATCTCCGACATACATTTCCCTTCCCTTCCCCTCTCCCCCCCCCGCCCTTCCCCAGGTGGCGGAGGAGCAGCCCGCGGTGGTGGCGGCGCCCATGGCGGACGCGGAGCTGAAGCGCGGCATCGCGGAGTTCTACGACGAGTCGTCGGCGGTGTGGGTGGACATATGGGGCGAGCACATGCACCACGGCTACTACCCCTCGCCCGCCGAGAAGTCCGCGCAGACCAACGGCAGCGCCGTCTCCGCCGTTAACGGCAGCGCTATTAACGGGAACGGGAGCGCGGTTGGCAGCGGCGCAGGCGTGGATCACTTCGCGGCGCAGGTGGAGATGATCGAGCGCGTGCTGGCATGGGCTACGGCCGACGGTGAGTAGTTGTTTGGCGGCGAGCAGCCGAGCGGTGACGCGGACAGCGAGCGACGCTACCACGTTTTTCTTCTCCCGATTTTCGCTCTGCGCCCGCCACCTGCTAACCCTTCCGCGGCCATCCTCCGCCATCCCCCGCTCGTCCCGCAGACAGCGAGGGCTGGAAGCCGCGGCGAGCGGTGGACGTGGGGTGCGGCGTGGGCGGCAGCTCGCGGCACATAGCGCGCAAGTACGGCGCGGAGGTGGACGCGATCACGCTGAGCCCGTGGCAGGCGGCGCACGGCAACAAGCTCTGCAAGGACGCGGGGCTCGGCCAGCAGGTGCGCGCGCGCGCGCGCGGGGTCGCGCACCTGGATCCCCTCTCACTCGCCTCCGTCGCTCGCCTCCCTCGTCCGCCTCCCTTGCACCCGTTTCTTCTTCCCATACTTCCTCTCTTCCCCGCACGCCCTCCTAAAATCTCGCCGAGATCCCTTCGTTCTCTTTCCCCCGTCGCTCCCCCTCCCCCCTACCCTTCCCCGCTGCGCCTCCCCCCTGCGCCTCTCCCAGGTGCGGCTGCAGGTGGCGGACGCGATGGCGCAACCGTTCGACGAGGGGACGTTCGACTTGGTGTGGTCGCTGGAGAGCGGCGAGCATATGCCGCGCAAGCAAGAGGTGCGCGCGCATGGGGACTGGGGCGCGCGCGAGGGAGGCGAGGGGAAGAGCGTGATGGGATGAGGAGGACAGGACTGGAGAGAAGGAGAGCAGCGAGCGGCGAGTGGAGGGATTGTGAGGAGTACGGGAAACGGAAAGCGGGACGAGAGGGGAAGAAAGGTAGACCTTTTGGGTGAGAACGGAAGGGGAGGGGGAGGGTGGAGGAGTTGTGAGAGCAGGGCGTGCTGGAATGAGTTCGCGTGGTCTCACACCACCCGATTTTTCCCACATCCTGCGCGTTCTCCCTCTCCCCCGTCTCGTAATCCCCGCCCCCTCCTTCTCTGTGCGCAGTTCGTGCGCGAGCTGGCGCGCGTGGCGGCGCCAGGCGGCCGCATCATCATCGTGACGTGGTGCCACCGCGACCTGCAGCCAGGGGAGACAGAGCTGTCCCCGGGCGAGCAGGTGCGCTGTTGGGGTTGGGGAAAGTGGGAAAGGGGGGATTGGGCGGGGACTTGTGGGGAGTGGTGAGGGCACTGTGGAAGGTGCGGCCATGCGCCTGCCTGCACATGCGCAAACATGACCTGTGGTCTTGCAACACACCCCAGCGACTGCACTGCGCCATCACGCTCTTCCATGCCTTCCTCTCCCGCACCCACCTTCCACTCCCACGGCCACCCTGTGTGCCGCGTGCACCTTCTCGCTGTGCCCTTCAGCCCGCTCCTTTCCAAAATCCTCCTCCACTCATCCGTCCACGCCACACATCAAACTCCTTCCCCTAGTCTCATCCGCTGCCCCTCCCCCTCCCGTTTCGCCGTCCGTCCGCCCCCCCCCGCCTCCCCCCAGGCTCTCCTGCAGCGCATCTGTGACGCCTACTACCTGCCCGCGTGGTGCTCGCCCTCCGACTACGTGCGATTTGCCACCAACGCTGGGCTACAGGTATGCCCGCCACGGGTACGCCACGTCAGGTACGGCCGCAGTAGGTACGGCCACGGTAGGTACGGCCGCGGTAGGTACGGCCGCGGTAGGTACGGCTGCGGTAGGTACGGCCGCGGTAGGTACGGCTGCAGTAGGTATGCCGCGTCAGGTACGGTCGCTGCAGGTAACGCTGGTACAGGTATATATGGTGCAGGGCACCTGTTGCAACACCATACATTCCTCCCTAAGGCACTCCATGATGAGGTGCTTGGCCCCGGTGTTGTTCCAGCGATCGAGGCACCACTCCAGGTTCCAGGTTGTGGGGGAGACACAGCATTGACTGGGGCATGCACCCGCCAGTTTCACATCCCAGCACATGCACAAGCGCATATCCGTGCTTACACAAATACACGCATTCTGACGCATGCACCCACACATTCATACACTGCCTTGTGTTTCCATCCTAATCTGTACTAACTCTGACCGAATTGTGGGTGACACCGCATTCCCCCTTTCTCCCAGGATGTGCGTGTGGCGGACTGGACGGAGAACATCTCTCTCTTCTGGCCGGCCGTCATGCGCTCCGCGCTCACACCCAAGGGCATCTGGGGGCTGCTGTCGTCTGGGTGGAAGACGCTCAAGGGCGCCGTGGCCATGCTGTGGATGATGCAGGGGTACAACTCAGGGCTCATCAAGTTCGCCCTCATCACCGCCAAGAAGCCCCTGTAACCAGGTGAAGTGGCGTTCTTTCCTCCCTCATCTGCTCTCAGCTTGGACGGGCCTTTTCGTTCTCATTGTGATGTCCCTCTCCCCATGTTGTTGTAGTCTCACCCTTTGGAGCTCTCTTTGGTTTTCTTTTTTGTTTTTTTTTTTTTTTTTGCAGCTGTTTTGGTTGGGACCTGATGCACGTAATTCAAATATATTGTTTTATTTAACCCCGATCGCGGTGCTGCTAGTAGTTGAATCAAGGACTTGAACGGTACTTCACATTATGTATCTTTGTTT